AACCCAAGGCAGGAGGCCTTGCTCTCTGGTCTCCCAGAATGGGGGGGTCAGGGCTACCAGCATTTCTCTCCCTGTTTCCCACATGAAACATTTACCCCATGAGCCACATTAATGATGCATGCAGAATCACTGCTGTGCCAGGTGTACCATGCACAGCTTCAGGAACTATTTCAGCTTTTGTTGAATGGGGCACGGTACAAGCAGGTGGGTCAAACACACACTGAAGGCAAGAAAAGTGCCTGGGAGGGTACCAAGCTCAGTACTGGAGTTGTTCAAGGTTGACCCAAGTTGTTAAGAGGGGCCAAAAGTTCAAGATGCTATTTTCTCTCAGAGCACAGCTGCAGTGCCTTTGATTATTCTCTCCTTTTGAATCGGGCGCAAGGGCAGCGTGAGCGGTGCAGCAGTAAGTGATACGGGTTTGTCCAGCCTGGCTCTGATCCCAACCCTTCCTTGCCCCATGGCCCAGTCAGGTGCTCTGGTGTGGGCTGCACGTTCCCCGTGGGTCCAGCAGCTGTTTGCCCATCTGGGGGGTGCAGGGGTGCCCCTGGCCGGGCAGGGTCAGCGGGTGCGGGGGCGCGGGCGGACACCGTACTTACAGCACACAGAGCGCGTACGCCGAGGCAATGGACTCGCTGGCCCGCACAAGGAAGCTGCCATCCTTGCCTACTTTGGAGAGCAGGTCTTCGGCCCTGGAGCGAGTGATGTTGCCGTGGTACCAGCACTGATCCATCGCTGGAGCTGGAGGAAACCCGAATTCCAGTCCAGGAGCTGCCAGAGCTGCCTGTGTGTCTGTGTGTAACGATCAGCCAGCTTCAGCTCACCAGCTTCCTGTTTCAATAGTACAGAGAGGGAAAGGAAACTCAGCCACGGACAACTTCCTCAACTCAAACAGCTCAGAGAGTGAGCGTGACATGTTCCTGCAGCCCCCGCTCTCCTCTTCATGCTGCAGCTGAAGTGACTTGCAAGCCCATGCTCCCTGCCTTTCCCGCCCCCTTCATGTCAGAAAGTCCCAGCTGGGCATCTCTTCTGCTCCCTCACAGATTCAGTCCCCCAGGCTTTGGTGGCCTGCTGTCCCATTTACGAGCTCTTGTCAGACCCTGTGAGTTTTCATCTTTTTCTGTCTGTCTGTCCTACCCACTACAGGGCTCCAAGGGCAATAAATAAATCTCTGATCAGAAACACACTGTGCATTAGGATACCTAGCACTGACTGCCCCGTTCCTGCCTTGACTAGTCCTCATAGGCAGTTAGGTGTGAGGAGGGGACTTCAAAGAGCTGAACAGAATAAAATTACGACTGCACGTTTCCATGCACAGCAGACTGAGAGGCTGATCTGCACTGGGGATTTGTGACCAAAGCTCCCTGTCAGCTACTGTGAGATGAATTTAAAGATCTTTCCTACTCTAAATCCCCAAAGGTGGGATGGAGCAAAGCTGTATCTGGCAACCTGCGTCAGAGAGGGAAGAACTGGAGTTTTCACTTCCCTTTTCTTGGTGTGTACATCTGTCCCTCAGCTGTGCTGGGTGGCTGCTCAGTGCTGCATCTCCAAGGCACAGCACAGGGGACACGTTTGCACCAAGCCAGGACATTGCTACAGGGGCACTGCCTGTGAGGGAAAATTGGTTGCTTTGTCTGTTCCTCCAACCACTCTGCCTTGGAAGGCAGCATTTCTGCACATCCACATTTGAGCTATACCTAAAAGCAGCAACTGAGCTCAGACTCTGACTTGCAAGTTCCCAGGTAAGACATAGATCCTGCTAACCCTATGCAAACCTTGCTTTACAGAGCCAGGAGAAGTACTGGAACCACAGTACCTGGATCATGGACATAGCATGGACAGCAAGGCAGGAGAGAACAGACTGTCACTGCATAGGGAGATGCTAGAATTTGTGGGTATGGAGAGAGAGTGAACAGGCACAACCCAGCATTCATTCCTGCAGGCCTTCCTGGTGCTTTCAGTTCTCCAGACACCTGCCCTGCAGTGTCCAGCTTAACCTCTGCCTCTGAGATGAGGCTGAGGGCACCAGCAGCTCAGAGCTGTGTGGCCAGAACAGCGCCCTGCTAAACGAGCAGCCCTGCACCCTGCAGGGCTTCCTGACCACGCCGAGCAAGCACTGTCTGCAGACCAAAATTAGCTCAGCTGGACCCGACCTTCAGCTTAGCCCAGACCCACACAGGGCTCCAGGAGACAAACTGCCATGGATTCAGGAGCCTAAATGCAGTCAGATGCTGATTGCCATGAAGTGGCTGTGCATGGGCAGTGGCTGTAAGCTACAGAGGGGTTACAAACCCTGCTCTCCCCACCGGGAGGAGTGTCTGCACATGGTAAAGGAACCGTGCAGCTCCTCCTCCCTGCCTGCCCACAGACCACTGCTAACCTCACCTGCACCAACTGCCTGGGATTTCTGGCACCTCCAGTAGCTTCTCTGGAGCACAGCTGCAGCAGGAGGCAGAACAGCTCTGAATGTTAAACCACTGCTTGGCCTCACAGTGCTCTCCATGCAATGGACACATATCTGGATGCAGAGTGGACAGAGCTGCTGATCACCCCAGGAGTTCTGCCGGAATGAAACTGTGTTTGGAAAGCTTCTCCTGATCTTCTGCAAGCTAAACAAGGTAGCAAGTACAACTCCTGGTTAGACATCTAATTAGCTGTTAGACAGACTACTTAGGTGTATACTTAATTCCTATCCACCCCTCCACCAATTTCAGTTTTTAGCTGTTATTTCTTCAAATCCCTTATCCAGCCACACACAACTCCTTTACTTTGAGACATAAACAAGGCGAAGGGATCCAAATACATGTGATGATTGTGGCAATTGGATGTGCAGGCTGGTTTCTGTGAGTATTTCTTAGTTGTAAAAGAAAGCACAATACAGCTCCAGCTGCTCAAAAGGTGAATCCCAATCCCCTAACATAAACAGCTCTGTGGTCCCTAATGGCTCGTTAGCTTGAAATAATACCCCATCCCTCAGACACTGCAATAAACTGGTTTTGCTACAGATGTAGTAGTATTGTACCAGCTGGCTGTCAACTCACCAGCCTGTCCAGAACCAGTAAATAAATACTGTCATCATTCAAGATGTCACACAACCCCCCACGTGTAGCCAGACTGTCCACTCTGCATCATCATGGGAGCTGCCAGGCATGACCAGATAAAAACTTCTTAAACATGCATTTCCATGTCATGAAACAAAAGTATTCCATAGTACCTGATGAGGAGGTTAAATCTATAGGACAGCAGGTAGCTTTGCTGAGGTCTAAATATACCAGTACCTCATTAGGCATCAGTGACAGGCTATTGGCCACAAAGGTGCATTTAGGCTCTGGCCTACATCTGAAGAGCCATGAGTAATACCCACAAATACTGTCTACCTGAGCCACTCTGCTACACCAGCCCAGCATGTTACTGACCTGCTGCTTGGGAAGGGCTTGGCAAATTACAGGTTATCTGTGAAGTTCATGAGATCTCATTACTCTCTTGGTACCTGCAGCCTCCAGGTGCCCTGAAACAAATTCAGACAGTGAGAAAAATCAGGGCCCCTTCTCCCACCACCCCTGAAAGCTGCCAGCAGTAAAAGTACAGGGTAGGGGCACTGAGCAAACAGGGACCTGCAGACCTGAGCAGTGACAGTGCCAAGGATCCTATGGCATTTGCTAGTGTTTCTCCAAGGGGATGTGTTCTGAGAGCACTCTGGAAAGCAGGTGTTATTCTGCACCAATAGAGCAAACAAACACATTTTCCTTGCAGCCATTCCACACGTGCACACACACAAGATACAGCACCCAGCAAACAAGCACAGACTGGTTCATAAAGCAGAATTTTGTCCAGAGGCATAGGTAACACTTTCCTAGTTCCACCTGCTCTGACATGTCTCCCTTGGTACCCATTCATTTCTGGTGGGTCCCTTGTCTGCTCTCTGTATAAAGCCTCCTTTCAAACCACACCAGAGCCTCAGAAATAGTGTCTCTCTAACCAAAACTAGAATAGTTTCCTTTAGAAATCTGCTGAAAATCTACCTATGTTGGAAAGCCTTCCAGTTTGAGTGTTCTTGTGCTGCTCTGGGCTTGGTCAGGTCCCCTCCCTCTGACACAGGTGCTTTTTTACTGGAAGGGGGGCAATGTTATTTCTTTGACATAACTGCCTCATATGCCAGTAATACTCTGTAATAAAAAGACATGGGGTTGCCAGCGACAGAAGCAGTAGCTGCATGGATCATACTTGTGTTAGAAAGACCAGCAAGCATTTCCCCTCCTGACTCTAAATTGGGAGCTCCCTCTGCAGACCTGTCCTGATCCTGCAGTTCCAATAGAGGCAAAATGCCGTTTCGGCCACTTGTCCTGTCCCCAGACGTGGAAGGGTCCTGGTGTCCTCCATGACCCCTACTGCCACTGCCCAGGGAGAGGGAGCAGCTAGAGCACACAAGGCTCTGGTTTTCTTACAGAGAAACTGCAGCTTGTCAGTGCAGTGTAAGCAAAAGGGTGAGTAAGCAAGGACATGGCATGGGAAGTAAGAAGAAGGTTCAGTTTGACAGAAGTCCCTGGGGTGCCTGGGAACCCAGCAAGGCAACTCCAAACGAACTGCAGAAGTGGGCAAGGAATATCCCCAGAGCAAGACATCACACAGCCTTGCTGAAATAAGGAGCCAGCAAGCCCTGAAAGTTAGAGGTGCCACATTCCTACACCGTCTGCGAGAAGCAGTACTCCTAAGCAGAGCCAAAGCAGTGTCCTGAAGAAGGTGACACCAGATATTGGGCAGTAAGCCCAGTGCCCTCTCTAGAACTTTCTCCACAACTTACTAAATACCACTCAGCATAAAACTGCTCCCAGTCCCTGGGAACACTGTCAGCAGTGTTACATTGATCCAGTCTATCGGAGACCTCAAGGTGAGAAGCCCCATACAAAGGTCACACTTGGTTTGGGCACGGGATGTGTAAAAAGGGAAAGCCAAAGGGAAAGGCAAAAAGGGGGAACAGACAACAGAAAACGAACCCAAACACGTTAAGTTTTGTTACATTTAATAGACTTCATAATCTACAGACGCCGCAAGCCAACGCCAAACTAAGTGTGCAGCAGGAGTACAAAAAACCTCCTGCTCAAAGATGAGAAGTGATAGTGAAAAGTATCAGCAAAGGTGGTGTTTGGAGGGATGCTGGTGGAAAGGCTTGAGACTCAGAGCTCTGAGGGAAAGGCTTGCTTCAAGGTGAACATGACAAAGATCATCTCTTCGCACTGCCGGCGGGTCCCATATTCAAAGAGGCAGGAGAACAAGGGTGAGCCATCGGGTCCAACACCCATGTACTGCAGATCCGAATAAGCACACAGGCCCCTGAAGAGGATGCTAGGTTTTGTCCAGTGTGCTGGATTTAAAGGGCTTTTGTTGAGGTAAATTCCTAAATCTTTCCGACCCTTTGGGTCTGTAGGGTGAGCATAGAGTAACCAACTGTCTTGGCACCTGGCATCAGGGGGAGGTGGAAAGGCAGTAACACTTCCATGGCATCCAAAGGGAGGTTCCACTAGCATTTCAACCCGCTGCCCTCCCTCGAAGTCCAGCCCATGGTTGTAGCTGACGGCCTGGATTCGGGCTCCCCTGGTGCTCCTCGCGTTGCAGTACAGGACCCTCCTGCCACAGGTATGCACCTCTGCTACCTGGCACTCCACCGCGCTCTCCTCGCCCACGAAGTTGCCCAGCTCCCACGTTGTGCCATGGTCAGAGCTGATGAAGCAGAAGGCGTGAGGGGTGGGGTGCTGCTTAGGGTCCAAGATACGATAGGCATAGGCGGGAATCACCAGGCTCCGGGCCTCGTTGAGCAACTGTAATCCGTGACCCGGCCCCACCGCAAACGTGGCCCAGTTCTTGTACTCGGTCCTGATGGTGCCGTCGGTGACATCCTGGGCAGCGCTCCAGGTGCGCCCTTGGTCCATGCTGGTGACGTAGCAGAGGCGTACCAGGTTAATCTTTGTCCTGAGCTGATGCTGCTCGGAGATCTTTCCTGGGACAGCTATGAAGAACAGGATCAGCTTCCCGGAGACCTCATCGTAAACCGGGCAGGGGTTCATAGATCGGTGGTCTTTCAGCTGTGCAGTGAAAAGGGTCTCCATGTTATTCCACTGCCAGGGCCCACGTGAAGGGAGACAAGAACGAAACACACCATTACAAACAGATCCAAGTTAGAGTGCAAGGATGCCTGGACAAAAGTTACAGAAAAGCATGGGAAGAACAGAAGAGAAGCAGGTTAGTGGATAGAGCAAGAAATGGGAAAACAATAATCTGGCATCACCAAAGGTAAGTGAAAATTCTTTGGATGACACAAAGCACATGCACGTCACCAAGCAGGTGGGTTATGTCCCTTTTAATTACTACTCCCCGAGGAGCTGACAGCTCCATACCTCAATGCAGCTGGTGACTGATGACACAGTCTGGAAAGCTACAGGAGCTGAATTGTCAGAAATTCTCACAAATAGATATTTGGCACAGACGTGCCCAGTGGTCAAAGTGTGCTGGTACAGACACTGTGCTGTGTCAGTGCTTCTTATGGGGCCACAGAGGTACCCGAGCCCTTTGCAAGTATCCTGGATGCTGACAAATTCCTTTCCATTCGAACTCCTATTCCTCCACTGTGATCCATGTGTGAATGGGCATCCCAGCCTACACTGAGGACCCTTGCTGGGCTAAGATTGCATGGCTTTCCATGCTCTGGTATGGAGATTTGGGCCCTGAGCTGTCCGATTCAGAAAAGAGCAGGTATAACTACCCTGCAAGCCCTCTCTTTCTTTAAATGAATAGCACCTAACACAATCACATTTCTAACACTAACATTGCTATTAGAAAATTATGCCTAAATAGTGTTATTGGCTTTGTAAAAGAAGAAGTGGTTTCCAGTAAGATTGTACTAATTCGCTTTTCTGCCCTGAGTTGCTGATTCCCCTTTTTGATCATGTTTTCTCTTTGTCTATTCAGCCTATATTAACTTTTCTTGAATATTTAATATTTCCATTTTAAGAAAATCTAACATGTGAACACAAATGACTAAGTTTATGACCAACTGAGCCCTACTTAACTGAATTACAAAGAGTTACACAAGATGCAACCTGAATGGTCTGATACTGCAGATGTGCTCAGAGGCTGCTTCTGCAAGGCAGAATCCAGCTCTTAGGAGTGTACAATCAAAGACAACTAATGAAGGTTTGGAACACAAAAATATAATTACTTTTTTTCCCCCCAACACATTTATGCCTTTGCAAATGCAAACAAATTACTATAAATAGAATATCCACCACCCCCAGCCACCCAGCAGGATAACTGTTAATAATAACTGGTAGGTTAATAAAGTAGCCAATTCCCTGGCACCAACACACCAGACAACGCTCTTTTGCGTGGGGAGACTTGCTGTTCTCAATTGTTTTTTAAACCAGAAATTAGTATTAAGATGATGAATTAAAAACAAAATTAAATAGCAACTGATGGCTAATTTACTTCTCCTTATCCTTGTGCCACTCCCCATTTCTGCCTCTCCTCCACATCTTGGCTGCCACAACAGGACTTCTGTCTCCTCTCTCTGTCTGCATCCCCATCCCCAGTGATGGGCCCAAAGCCTCTCCTGGAGTATCTGTTGTACCTGCCCCCTGTTAGTCCCCCCACCAGCTGCCTGGTCACAGGATTGAATCCCATCACGTCCATTATTTAGTGGCAGATTTGTCTCCTGTAACTGGGGAGGAGAAGCTGCCCTGTCCCTCCAGCAAGAGGGCAAATCCACTGAAGCTGTGGAGCCATGTGAGCAGCACAGGTGGGTAGTGCCCCCGCTCCCTCCCCACACTGGTACCTGGACGTGGTGTGTGCTGGGGTCGTACACGCCCCTGCGCATCGCTATGAGCTTGGCGTGTTCATCCACCACATCCTCCCGCTCCTCGGCAAACGCCAGGATCATGCTGAACCGGGGCAGGTAGAGCAGGGCTGGAATGCGATAGCTCCAGGTTCCGTTCCGGAACAACGTCTCTTGCTCCAAGACAGGGAACGAAGCCATTGTGCTGGAGGGAAGACAAAGCACATTGCATTTTGTCCCAGCAAAATGTGATGGGGCGCTGCTTTTTGCTCTCCTTGCTCAGTGGGGCCTGTCCTGCACTGAAACAATTTCTGCTACTTTCAGCTCTGTCTTTTTCTTCTGCTTTTCCGAAGAGAACCTGTATGGAGCAGAGTAGCTGGAACTGAGGCCAGACTTACCCCAGGAGCAGCCTGGTTGATATGGCTGGAGTGTTGCAAGGCAAGTGCACTAAATACAGTTAATAAAAAAGCTGTGCTTTGTTTTGTCTTTTTAATTAAATTCACAGGCCGGGACTTTTGTGGGTTTACTCTGTAATTCAGAAGACTGTTGATAATAAGACATTGTAGTACTTGCCCTCAGAAGACCATTAATGTCTCTGGTGATGGTGTATCCAAAACCTGGCACAGAACTTCTGCTTTGCTAAATATGAGTTTAAAATTTCATATAAATGACACACTGAGGCAATCCCTGACCTCAGCTGTGCCCCAGCTGGGGGATGACAAGCACTGAGCACGAATAAAGAAAGGAAGAGAACTTCCCTCCTTCTGTAAGATTAAAGAACAGTCTGAATGGTGTCCCATAGCTTTGGGTGGCACTTCTGACCAGGTGAAAACCTTGTCCTCTTTACAGTGACTTAAAAGCAACGTTATGAAGGAAAGCAAACATGAGGGAGAATTTAAGGAAGCTGCCTCTGTGTACCTGGTCTGTGCTATGCCCCACACAGTTTCTGTTCCTCTCCCAAGACCCATTTGGCCCACTGTCCTCTTGCACTGAGCTCCTCCTGTGAGCCAACCTACCCTGGCAAAAACCCGGTGGGCTTGAGGGAATTATCTCTGAGCGGATGGGGGCAAAAATAAGAAAAAAAAAAAAAGAAAAAGAGAGAAGGAAAATACATGTCTCTGACATGATACACCAGAAACTGAAGGCTTGGATATCCCTTGCTCAGCAGGGAAGGGGAGAAGAAAAAAAAAGAAAAATAAATATTAAAAAAAATCAAGCCTTAGATCTCTGACGCATCGAGTGGGTAGGATGGCAGGGAGAAGATGACAATACACTATGAGTAAGAAATTCAAATGCCTCCTACCTCAGCTGAGGCAAGACTTGCTGCACTCTTCATTGAGGATTCTCCTATTTATCCAAGTCTTGGAAAGTGCTATAGTAGCTATTGGACATGGATCAGATCCTCGTGTTTTTGAAGGCTCCCTTGACAATTCAGGACCAGCTGTGGAGGCAGCTGCAGAGTGCATGTACCTACCTGGAGAATAGTTTGCACTCTTCCATGTTTAAGAGGAAAGCTTGTATTAGCCAGTGTAACTAACCTTGACTAGGTCCACAGTTTGTTTAAATTGTTTTGTTTTGCAGTGCTGATTCCTGAGTTAGGACAGCACAGATAGGCTGAGTTCATCCTCCTCAGACAGCACCATCACATTACACTCTCTCCAGATCCATAGCCAGACAGGGAGTGTTTCCTTGCTTTCACCTTGCAGCTGCTATAAATACCAGTGAGATCTGTGAACTCACAGCGTTGCTCAGAAGGGTCTGAACTGCACTGTTTGAGCTAAAGCAACCTGTACAGACTCCAGCCTCACAGCCCCACTGCCACTCAGATCCAAAGCCACTGCAGAGGGAAGTCCATCTCCCAGGAGCAGCTGCTCCCTCCTCACTGTCACCAACTGTCACCTCACCTCTGCTGTACTAAATGTTTCCAGAACTGGATCCCAGCTATCCAGGCAGTAACATGAAGGAAGCAGGAAGACCTTCCTAGAACAAATAGCTGTGCTGTTCACTACTTCCCAGCATGGCTGTGGCTATTTATACAGCCCACAGCTGTGGCTGTGTGCTCATGGCTCCTGAAACAGAACTCACCAGCGTGCTTCCAGACTATTTAAAGGGAGATTATTTAAAGGGAATTAGTCAGCCTGTCTAGTGCAGCACAGGTTCCCTGGCGTTCCTGCTCATGGTACTGCAGTCTGCTGTTCTGCTACTGCAGTCCTGCTTCAGGGCAGAGCAAGAGGGAAGGAAAAGAACCAAGAAAAGATATAAAGGAGAGGTAGAAAGAGAAAGAGAGATCTGGGTCATGAAGCCCTTGATGGAAATCCAGACCAGTGCCACAGGAGGCCGTGCTGCACCTGAGTCCCTCCCACGTGAGCCTGTCACCTGCAGACACCTCTGCCCACACTCTCAGCCCTCCATGACACAGTCAGTGTGAGTGTCACAACACTCTTCCCCTTATTGCCAAAAGGGGATTGAGGAACTCACTGAACTGGGAATAGCTGCCATAGAAACAAGCCTGAGGCTCCTGGACACAGCACCCGCAACTACAATCAAGGAAAATACTGGAACCAAGTGACTTCTCCATCTATCCAGAGACTAAAGAGAGGTATGTGTGAGTGTGTGTATATACACACACATACATATACACACACATACACACACTTGTATATGTGCTCCCTACACACAGTGTGGCTCTTATGGCTGGATGCATGTATATACACACTGTGTATCCATCTGCAGAGAAACTCTTCCATCCTTTTTTAAACACAGTTAAAGTCAGTATTCAGCTTCTTCTGCCTTCTGCCTCGTGGATCCTCAAGCAGAGATTGAGTCATAACAGTTTGAGTTTCACACAGAATCCAAAATGCAGGATCTTTAAATAAACTTAAAGTTCTTAATATTTATATATTAAAGAAAAAAATAGCACTGGCTTTAGTTACTTCTCCAGCCAACTGAAAGGAATTGATTTTTCAATTCCTTTTCAATACCCATTTTCAAAGGCAAACCCACTAACTAGACCCTCCTGAATAAAAGAGAAGTAAAATGGGCAAATCGTTGACAGGACAGCCACAGGAAGAATGTTCCAAAGTTCATCCTCCAGCACTGCAGGAATTCAAATCAGACACACCAGTCCCTCCCAGGTTAAATTGCCAGAGGATGCACATGTCCATGATGCTACTCTGCTCCTAAACCCTACTGAAATAGCACTGCCTGGCCTGCAAGGAAGAAGAGAGTATTGCAGGCAGCACGACCCAAGGACAATGGCAAAGTTTGTAGATCACAGCAGTATCTTTTGAAATACCAAGAGCTATAATTGGGAAAAAAAAAAAAAAAAAAAAAAAGATAAACTTCTGGAACACAAAGGCCTGAAACACAAGCAGGAGACTCTGGAGAGCTGTACACAAGAAGACAAAAATTGCTCAGATCTGCATCAACTCAATGACCCTGGAGAGAAGAGTTAGCTGTACTTTCTTGAGGTAAAAGAGTGAGAAAGGTAAGTTTTTCCTAGGAGAAAAGAACATAGTTCCTCACCTCTTCCCAGATGAGAGAGGTGCTGGTGAGGAGAAGGGAAATTAGTCTTGTAGCCATTAAGCCAATATTCCCTTCGTCATTTTGGTATTTACTGGAGTGTTTAATTCATTTCCCAGGCTTATCCCTGCCAAGTGTCCGGTTCAGGGAGAATGATGTTTACCTGCAATTCCTCTCCAAGGCACAAGGGAAGCTGCTGCACCGAGATCCAGTACCTCACCTCCGGGCAGGACCAGGCAGACAGGGAAGGATGAGCACAGTGCAAACACTAAGAGAAGGGGGAGTTAAACCGGAGGAAGCCATTACTCATAGTTTGCAAGTTACACAGCTGTAATGATTTCCAAAGCAGAGACTGTTTCCAGCACACCAGAAGAGTCAAAAAAAATAACAGTTGTCAACAAATGAATCTGTGCTGGATCTCATGCCTGGAAGGAGCCCAAGTGGCAGTAAGGGATAGGTGCTGGCAGACTCCAGGAGAGGGTACTTGTTCCTTCCTCATCTGTCCTTCAGGGCAGCTCACATGGACTTGTCTATAGAGCAGGATGAGCCCTTGCATGTTTATTTGCTTTAGTGACTAAAAATGATAACATTTCCACTGGCCTCAGCTTCTGTATAGACCTGTTCTTAACATGTTCAGATCCAAGCTGAAATGACAGCGTGTCTTTAAAAACAAACCAGCAGAGATGAGGTAATAAGCTGAACTCTATCCCTTGGTCTCCATCAGAGAGCTCTACACTCTGTGCAGCAGGCAGCTTGTTCTTGAATGATTTTAGATAGGTCCCAAAAAAACAGACAACCCATTCAGGGAGGGGTTGGGGGGAAAAACACAAAAAAAAAACCCCAGGCAGAGCCAAATACAAAACCCAACTAAAACTCTGCTTTGCAAGGTAAGCATAAGAATCCAAGATAAGTTGTTCTGTACTCAACATCAGTCCTGGATTTACAGTGTTTTCCAAATGTGTAAAGCATTTCAACTAATGCTGAAACACATTCTCTGTTTCACTTAAAGGAAAATAAGGCATTTCCACTGGGATATTGCACAGAGGGCTCCCAGGAGTAGCCATGTTCCAGTTGTATAGGACTAAGAAACAGAAGACCCGGTTTGTTTCTCGAATCCTTGCTGCACAGGGTATTCCTGTGTGGAAGCCCTTCCTCCCTGCTGAACAGCCTGGCTGTGCCTGTTTGTGCCACAGCCCAGCACTGGAGTGCTCCATCCCCAGCCTGCTTGTGCCCTTAGACCAGATCCCACACTAAATCTAGGCTATAGAAATTCATAACAAGCAGGCAACACACATTTATTTAGTCCAATAAATCACCCTCAATGTAAAGTCAGAAAGACCTTATCAGTGAAACTGTCAAACAATAAACCTTAAACAAACTAAACCATTCAGAATTCAAAACTGAAAAAGACACAAAACTGGAATTACTTTAATCCAGCAGCCAATTGGATTAAACTTTTTAACCACACTAGAAACAGAAAGTTTCTCTTCTGGTAAAAACTTGATACCACATTTACATGGGGATTTTCAGGCTCTCCACTACACGGTTTCCTAAACAATCGACCAAGTTCTGTTTTCAAACTGCTGTGGCTCAGGCTGGCAGTAGCTCCTGTGCCCTAGAGTGGAGGTTTTCTTAGCAATAGGGAGGAATTACATGAAGCAGTAGTATTTTTCTTAAAATATG